AATTTGGGTAGCTGCATATGGTTCCAAACTAATAATTCACTGAGTAATAGTGAAATTCCTTGTAATAATGTGAATGGATTTTGAATCCAGTTCAGCTTTTTTCATGTCAAGCCCTACCTAAATTATAGAACATATGTGCTAAGGAGCAGGCGCTACAGCTGGTTTGGATTCCACTGAAAGGCCATGCCAGCTGTCAAGGGAGAGAGGTATCCAGGATATATGAAAGCAGAGGACTGGGGTGAGTCTTGGAACTGGCCCAGCGTTCTCACCTGTCCTGCCAAACATTCCCCAGGACTACCACTGCTGTGCTGTATGGGAACCTGCAACGTAGGCTCTCCTTCGTTAGCTGCTCAGTGGGGCATTTGCCCTTGATGGGCCCCAGAGACTCCAGGTCCCATGCAGCTGTCACAAGAGCTATAAGACTGGCCTCTGACCTGTGAAGAATACAGTACATAGAAGAGGAATCAGTTTAAAAGTGGACATAAGACATCACTTTCCGGAAATGACTTCGCAATACCAGTCCAAGAGTTTTTTCCATTAATCTTCCTCTGTAGCTCAAGGTTGCGTTCTCTTCTGTAGAGGCATCCCTTTTTCTATCCTAGTTGAACTATCTGCCTTCCTCTCACCTTCCAGAGTCTTCTTTCTCTGGCCAGTATGGAAATACATATCACTCAGTAAGACGCATACTTCTTTGTTCTACCTACACTTGGTCAAACCAAAGCTCTGGGACTTATCTTTGCTTAGGCAAGAGACTGATGGATTATCTTTCCTAAGATAAAAGGGCCAATGTTCCATATAAGGAAATCTGTTATTGTCCTATTGACAGTGTTTTTCTTCACATTACTAACAAGATTAAGAAAAAATTGACAGGCTTATCTGAAACTTTGGAGCGGGCTGGGAGCTCTGCCAATGTGGAACTTCCCTTCTTGATATTCTGTGTAATCATTGCCTTTCAAGGATTTTCACAAGGTTAAAATCTAAACTGGTTGCTATCAAAGAAAGGGACTCAGGTGATAGAGAAAGAAATATAATTTCTTATTTTTTAAATTGACACTCATAAAATTACAATCTGTTACAACTAGTAATAATGTATATATTCTGGTTGTTTCCGAAAATATAGAATTTCTGCACTCACCAAGACAGCTGCAGGCACAGCATGGTTTTACCTTCTCCCCGCAAAATTCACCTGTTGCTCACTTTTCTATTCATTAAAAGCTGTGCTCAGTACCACACAGTGGAACCCTAGGGCCAAGGTGGTGTGTTCTCTGGCCAGTGCTTTCATCTCCTTTTGTTTTGTTTTGTTTTTTGGGGGGGGGTATTACTGGGAATTGAACTCACAACTTCACGCTTGCCAGGCAGGCGCTGTGCCGCTGAGCTATATCCCTGGTCCTTCATCTCCTCTTGATGCTGAGCAATGGCTCATGGCCAGACAAACATAAAAGTCAATATTATGATACCAGACAGTTGCAAAAATAAAATTTTATTGAAGGACAATCTATACGGAGACAGGAAGAGACCTAAAATCTGTCTCCTGGATTGTTTGGAGCAGAGGAAATATAGCAGCCAGAGGTCAGGGAAAAGAAAGTGTTGGTTGGTTATAACTGGCTCACATCAGCACGCTGGTCCAGGGGAAAGTGCAGGTAGATAATTCCGGTCTCTCCACAAGACCTTACTTTCCTTTCTCAGGTTCCACTCTCTGGGAGGTTTTCTGCCAGGCTTTCATAGTCACTTTGGGTTAAGATCTATTGTTCTGCACCCACATCCTGCAAAACATCCTGAACAGTTTCTAAGAAGAGGGATGTTGCCATTTTAAGGCTTGGTTTCATTATCTTGCCCTCTTAGTCAGGTTGCTCTAGCTCTTTGTGCTTTGTATTTCTCAGCTTTAAAAGAATATCTCATACAGCTGAGTAGGAGATTAAATAGATGTAAACTGCTTAGGACCCTGCCTACCGTAGAAATGTTCGCCAGCACTCAGCAAATACCACGAAAAATAAAAAAGAGGAAGAATACTATGATCATGTTAAAATCAGGCCTCACCTACAAGTAACTAATTTAATTGCCAGAGGCATTGATCTCTCTTTTTTGTTTCTTTCCAAAAATTAGTCAGAAAACTGATCATGGGAAATGTCCTAATTTGTGCTTGAGTCACACCCTGCTAGTAAGTATGGGGAAGCTGGACATGGTGGCACATGTCTGTAATCTCAGCACTTGGTAGCTGAGGGCAGGAGGACCATTGCAATCTCCATGCCAGCCTGTGCTACCTAGTGAGCTTAAAACCAGCTTGAAGGATATGGTGATACCCTATTTAAAAAAAAATACAAAGTAGTGGTTGATTATAATCATGAAGAAAATCAGCTTTTACATATAGCCACTGATACATATAAAATATTCTGAAGCAAACAAAAAGGTCCATGTTATATGTTACTTTACATGTCATATATTAAAACAATGGGCTAAAAGAATAAAAATATGTCACTTTCATCTTTAACTAGATAAGAAGTATCATTGGTGATAGGAAAAACTGCATTTATGACTTTATAAATATATTTTATAATAATTCTAATAATTTCTAATAATTCTTAAACTGTTCTGCCATACTACTACTTGAGTATGTTTAAGAGAGGAGAAAATATAAGGCAGTAAGTCCATGACTGTTGCTTTTAAAGTGCCCATCGCATGTTCTATACAGTGATAAGTGCTTCATCTTTCTGTTTTAATAACACTAAGGTACATATTATTGTGTCCATCTTAGCTATGAAGCATAGCGATCATACATCTAAAACTTTACAGAGCTTGAGTCACACCCTGCTAATAAGTAGATCAAACCCAGGCACTTATTTCCCATTAGTAATTAGTTATGAAGCTATTAGTATTAAGGATTCAAATAATTTTCCAGCTGAAAAAGATGAAATTTTCTTACATCTATATCATATACTTTGAAAATAATTTTAAAGAAGTTTATAAGTATATAAAAACTGGATACATTTCTGAACAAATATTTCAATATGTACGCTAATTTGTTTCATTTATATGAATAATTTATCTGTTGAAAAGAAGTTTGTGTCATTATGTTTCTTTTTCATAATCTTTTTGGTTTACATCTTATAGTAAGCAACAACTTTGAAGATGATACACAGTATAATAACTACTATTATTTTGATTATGAAAACTTGTATTTTTTATAAAATAAAAAGAATAGGAAAGTGAACATGTCTTAACTTTAGAAATGATTATTTGAATTCATAGAGTTAAGTAGCTGATGTATCAAATTAAGAATTCTGTGGGTTTGTTTTACAAAATATATATAACTCAGGAGAAAAGCTGGAATTAGAAGATCATTTGGAAAAAGCAAACCCATTTTTGAAGTGATCATTTCCAATGACCATTATGGCATTTCTAAGTTTAAATTTTGAATTTTTGATTAAATGTATTTAAATTCATGTGATACAGACACAGAAAGCTAATTTTGTTTCATACATCTACTCCTTGCCCTCTGGATGAATAATTTTGATGTGTATTTTGTTACATATTTTCTATATTAAATATGCAAACATAAATAGAACATAATAATTTATATTACATACTGTTTCATATTAGTCAACTACTGCATTTAAAAAATTAAAAATATCTGTATATGTGCATTTTCCTCTAAAACAGTTTAAGTATTAGCCAGTGACTCTCACCCCTTGATGTAGATTAGAATCATGAGGTGATTTACAAAAAAAAACCAGAAATTGCCAGAGCCCTGCCTCAGAGATTCGAGTTTTATTGGTAGGGCTTTACCTGCCATGTAGCTAGGTAGAACCACCGATTGAAGCAACCCAAACAGGCTGCAAATGCCAGCCAGCCACAGGTCTAGATTGTCCTGGTATGGGTCCTCCCAGAATGGCCCTGCAGCAGAGTTACAACTGTGCTGATTCAGGAAACCCAGGGATTCCCATCAAAAGTTTAAGTGTCTTCAAAAGACTGACTAGGAGACATAAATTTGTTTCATCTTGTATTATGTTACAAGCAGTCACACGCCTGTATAAAAAGTGGTACTAGAGCCGGGGGTTTCAGAAGCTCTGTAAGTGACAGTATTAAGGCTAGGGTTATTCCCGAGTTGACTAAGCTCTAAGAATTTGTCCTTACCTGTAACCAGGCATCACAGGAAACCACACCCAACCTTGTTCCTTCTCATCTGGCAGAGGCAGCTTCTCAGAGCGTGCAAAAACTTGTTTGGCCTCTCTTGGGCTGACAAGACTTTTCAAGCCTCTTAACCAGCTCTTTGTGTGTCCTTGTGACAGCTTCACTAATACAGCAATTAATATTTGCATGATCGTTTCGTTTTCTTCACTCTGGCTTTACATTTGAGAGAACGGAGAGTAGGGACACGAAATAGGATAGTTGTGGAGCTTCTTCCCCGCTTCCCACATTTGCTTCCGTGGATACAATGGCATCGAGTGATTATAAGGTTTTGTTCTGAATTGTCCTGAAAGTTGTCTTCTTTAAATGGTCTTTCTCTTTCTTAAAACTTTCCCTGGTCAGAAGTTTGTAGAGATCAGATAGGTTGCTGAAATTTATTTCGACAATAATTTTTTTAAAAAATGTGAGTTTTAAGCAAACAGACCTTAGCAGGTGTATGACAAAGTCACATCGTCCTGAGTTAAAGGAGCAGTAGGGCAAGGAGTGAGGGGAAAGAAATCATAACTGTGTTCTTTTTCTGAGTTTCTTTTCTAGCTATACGACTAAAACATTACGTTTTTAGATTTGATCTTTTTACCTTCCAAACAATCATCGTCCAGCGTTTTAAGTCTAGGAAAAATGAGTGAATTGCTCCACACAATTGTAGAAAAACAAGAACAGCGAAACTCTCAACCGCAGGCAAGCTGTATTGCACAGGGAAAGCAAGAGGTGGGACCTCGAATCACCGGGCAGCCGCTCCCGCTGGGCGGCGGACCTGGATGTGGTCCTCCGCTGGAGCAGGGAGGCTCCGCCCCTGACGTCACGGGAGGCGGGGCGCCGCGAAGCCCAGGCTGCCCGCGACCCAGGCGAGGCGGGCCGGGGGGAAATAGGTCAGAGGCTCGGGCGCCAGCTGTGGCGCTGAGTTTCGAAGCCGTCTGGGAACTGCTTATTTTATTTTATGTTTTTGTGTGCTTTTTGCTTTTGTTTTCTTTTCATCTCAAAGACAGATGGCTGGCTTGGAGGCATAACTCGCCTCCACCATCATCTTTGGATTTGTTTTTGGTTGTTTTCTTGCACCTTGGGACTCGGGATCGTCATGGTGTGATGTGTTCGTGGGGAGGAACTGGTAAGAACAAACCGGCGAGCCTTTCTCACTTCACTACTAGCGCTCCCTCTCTTTCTCTCTCTCTCTCTCTCTCTCACTCTCTCTCTCTCTCTCTGCCCCTCCTCCCCTCCCCTCTCCTTCACTCCCTCGCTCCCTCCCTCCTCCCCTCCCCATCCAATCCTTTTTAGATTTGATGACATGACTCAAAACTAGAGTTCTGGGCTGCTGCTGCACTTTAAAATGGAGAACTGATTACACCATTTTCAGTTATTTAATTTCTACAAGGAAATTGTTTTATCTACTCTGAAAGCTGGTTTTTAAATCATGCACACGGTCGCACGCGCACAGGCATCCACCTCTGTCATTTCGTTGTGAAATCCAGTAGTTTAAAGCAGTTTTGTCTGTCTGCCCCTACAAAGATGATGAAGTGGAAAAGTGTTGGCAATTTAGCCCAGCAAATGCACCACGAGTTCATGCCTCAGGAAGAAAAAAGCGTTTGTACTGGAAGGTGCTCAGAAATAGTTTTGAAAGGAGCACCACCAAACCAAACCAAACAATCCGCATTCTTCCCAGTGAACACTAACTTTGAGAAACTTAGTTGCTAAACTTAGTTCCTTTTAGATTAAGAAACATGGAGTTGTATTTTACCACGTGCAACAGGGAAAATATATGCACTTTGAGGAGTAAGTTCCTCCTTCTAGAGTCTTATGGGTGATTTGGGACAATGCTTTTAGAAACAACATTTAAACTATTCTAATTCATCAGGACATGCCAGCACAGGTATTTAGAATGGCATCTCAAGACCAAGGCTTCTTCCTTCTTTTTAAGAAAGGTCATTACAAAGAGGAAGCAATGCCATATGCTCCCAGCAAACCTCTGACTGAGCAAACTTGAAAGATGCACCAAAAGGTTAGGGGCTCCTTATCCACCATGATACTGTATCCACGTTTAAATCCGGCTAGGGCACATTTCCGTGAAAAGTACCATCATAGTAAGCGTTTTTTCAGGTGTGTTTCTTATTCTCATTGAAAGCATATTTCACTTGCAATAGTTTCTTTTCTTTTATCAAAATGAGCTCTGTCTGTAGTGAAAAATAAATTAGCAACATTCAACCAATTTTACGGTGTTTAAAAACAACAGTATAACTGTTAAAATTTGTGAAAGTGTATGAAAAAATGGAGAATTTAAGCAGTCTAAAACAGGATGTGGGGGAATGTCTGGCCTTGGTATAAGAAAAATGAATACTTTCCTACTTAGGAAAAAAATCGAATAGGATATTACTTATTTTGATATTGTTAGTAAAATGCTCAGGATTTTATTATAAATAATTGAACAGAAATGGCTCATTTGTTAGACAAATCTCCATTTTAGAATCAATTTTAAAAGTTAAAATCCACATAATCAAGCATTCCATGTTTTTATTGTTTGAGTTGGTCAAATCTTTTTTTAACGAAGAAATTTTTTAAGAATATACTTGTAAGACTGAGTCACGAAAGATGGAGAAAGACCAAATCCAATAAAACATGTCTTCATTTTCAGAAAGAAAATAAGAAAATACTTGTAGTCCTGCCAGGCATGGTGGCACATGCCTGTAATCCCAGTATTCAGGAGGCTGAAGCAGGAAGATTGCTGTGAGTTCAAGGCCAGCCTGGGCTACACAGTGAGTTCACGGCCAACCTGAACTACACACAAGAGACCCTGCCTCAAAACCAAAAAAAAAAAAACCAAACAAACAAACAAACCAAAAAATACAGCAAGCAAAACCATTTGGGAACTCTCAAAGCAAAACTAATTAATGAAGATAAATTTAACAGATTGTCAGTATTTAAGAAAAATAGAATTTATTAGCATGAGGAATCATATATTTGCTAGATGCTATCAGCATATCTAGTTAGTAGTTATAGTAGATGAACAACTTTCAGATAATTAGTTCATGTTTTAAAAATATCAGCCATAGAAGTACTAGTGATACTAATTTTGTAGAAAAATTGTGCCTTAATGGAATCTACATTCAAGGAGTTCAGTGACAGGTATATTAATACAACTATATAGGCCAAAATATTATAATGTGTAGTATTGCACCAGTAACCTAGGTCTAGAGATGTATCCTAAGGAAATTATGTAATTTCCTTCTAAAGACTTACAAATATATTCATTGTAGTGTTACCTATAATAGGAAGAAATTGCAAACTGTCCAGTAACAAAAATATCTAAATTAATGTTTTACCTGTCTATAAATACAAACAAATTCCACATAGTTTTGAAAAAATTGTTATTAGGAAACATGTCTGCAATTATTGAGTGAAAAAAGCAAGATTTAATACTATGTTATGTTGAATGTGTAAAATATAATTTTGAAATAAATATGAATCATTTATTCAGTATCTACTAAGCCTTATGTATCAAGCATTGTTCTAAATTAAAACACGGAACATTGAACAAGATCTTTTCTGTTTGCACCTAAATTCTTTCTGCATCAGTGAGTATACACATTAATATAGCATGTAACAAAATATACATACACATATATACACATATTTCTGGGTGGTACAATTATAGATTTGATTTTCTTTTTAAAAAATTTCCTGATATTTACAAGTCTTCTTTAGCAGTTGTTACTTTTATGGTCAGAAAAATGCCATTTTCAAAAATATCACCAAGAATGGGTTGCGGCTGTGTAGCCCAGTGGTAGAGTGCTTACCTAGCATGCAGGAAGTCCTGGGTTTAATCCCCAGCACTAGAAAAAAAAAATCCAAGAAATACCATTAAGCGAAATAAAAAGACAAATGCTAGGCTCTATATTTTTATATTCTACTATGCCTTTTTCAAAAGATAGCACTAAAAGCAGTGATATAATATTACTATGTTGGAATGTTTTATATCTCCCTGCCCCAACTTCTAAGTTCATTTATTGATTTCTCATCACCAATGTAATGGTATTGAAAGGTTGGGACTTTGGATGGTGATGAAGTCACATGGGCGAGGTATTAGTGCCTTTATTTAAGAGGCACAGAGGGATGCCTTACTCCTTCCACCATCGAGAGAGTATAGTCGAAAAGTTCCAAGAGCATACCAAAAACCAAGCCCTCATCAGACAACACCTTTGGTGGCATTTTGGGTCTTCCGTCTTATTTGATTTAAGGATTTTTGAATAAGGAAGATGATTGCAACAGCACATGTTAGTAAAAGAAACAATTCAACTCTATATGTAGAATCAAACTGTAAGGAATGAGTTTGTTTGTTTTTTTTTTTTTTAAGCCAACTAGTTTGTAGTATAATTTGTTTAGCAATCCAAATGGACTAAGAGACTTATAAACACCCCTACAAAAATGTTTCTCAATGATAAATAGATATAATTGTGTAATTCACAAGTGAAAATAAAGTGGATTGCCCAAGGTTGGGAGTATATATGCTAACTCTCCCTATCATCAAAGCATTTCAGCATAGCACTGAGTTACCATATTACACATATTATGTCAACAAACATGGAAAGAAATCAAAATGTGTGAAGATATTGGGAAGACTATTCAATGATGGAAAAATATTTCTGATATTAGAATGAAGAAAACAAACCAAGTTACAACATGATATCCTAGTTTTGAAAAAAACTGACCTAAGCACAAAACCAGTTTATTAATGAAGAACAAGCCAAAATTTAATAGTATTTATGTGTAGGTAGAAGATTGTAGATATCTATTTTTTCTCATGATATTAATCCATTTTTAAACATGTTCAGTGAATTTACATTAGTTGTCAAGGAAAAAATTGCTTTCCTAACAGAACAACTTGTCCTACCTAGAACAAAGAGCCCAGAGACTGTATTAGCTCTCCCTTCTCTCGCAAGGGGCCGCACTCACTTGTGATTTATAATTTCCCGTGCAGTATTATAGTCTCTGAGGTGTTTCCTGGTGAGAACATTAGGATTAGTAAGGAAACCATGAGGCAGAATTTAATCCTACTTGCATTCTCCTGTCTGTTCCTAGTTCTCTGAACTAAGTCACGTTGGACTGACTTATACTATACTTCCTCTTCAGTTCCTGTTGATCACATCCACTAGGATCTGATGCTGATAGATCTTAACTAAATGCTAAATAAATTTACTTATTTGAGTGAAGGAGTTTTGAATAAGGAAGATGACTGGAACTGCATTCATTAGCAAAAAAACGAAATTCAACACTATAATGTAGGATAAGTTAAAAATTTTTCTTCTTGATGTGAAGTGGAAATACATTGTGAACTGTCCCTAACATTGTGAAACTCTTCAATTTACAGTATTCATAATTACTTATGACTTCACAACTTTCTAATTTGCTTTATTTTTTTTTTTTTTTTTTTCTCCGGTACCGGGAACCGAACTCACGACGTTGCGCTTGCCAGGCAGGCGCTTTTTTGCCGCTGAGCTAAATCCCCAGCCCCTCTAATTTGCTTTAAATAGACTACAAAATATGTAAGATGTAGTTAAAATATTCAGTAAAATATCCTTTCTTCTTTACTTAAAACTTTTTTTCTAGACATTGTTTTTGATCACACATATTCCACTTACCCTGTGATATCTCCCAGTTGAGAAATCAGCATTTTTACATTGTCCAGATAGAGAAACGCCTGAAGATGAGGCATTGCACTTTTAAGATCCCTAAACCAAGAACTGAAAGTGAAATGGTTTCAGTGGGGTAAAGGAACTTTGAAAGTAATTCTTACTTGGAATCCCAGCCTGGCTTTCTTCTCCCAAGTTGCCATGTTTCATGTGAGGGAGTATGGTGGTCCCAATTCCAAGCCTGTCACATATTATTTTAATTATTAGGGGAAAAATGTCACTTTCCTAATAAAACAATTTGTCCTGGAATAAAGAGCCCATAGATGGTATTATCTGCCTTTCCCCTTTCACAGAGTTCCTATAGTCTCCTCATTTCCTTTCTTTCTTTCTTTCTCATTCATTTTTCTTGGCTATACAGATGGATGGGTTTCATTTTTGCAGACTGGCACCTGCACATAACATACGTTAATCATTTTATATCCCTGTC